ACGATAATTTGAATTGGTTCGAATGGTTGACATTCTAGAGTCAATGCTACGTGTAAATTAAATGGGAGATGCTAATGTAGGCCGGTTGGGGACTGGGGAGGTTCTGGGATTTCCGGAGTCTAAAATGGCCGCTTTATATAAACGATAGTTAGGGAATACAAACCCTGACCCTTTTAAATTTAAGAGGGGTAAAAAGTAAATTGGGTCCAAGTTCAGTCTTCTAAAAGACGTTAGGGTTAGGGTTCTTATTCTCCAAAATACTCAGGGGGGTTGGATGGCCGAATGGTTGGCATGTGCGCGCTATATCATAAGGCATGTGATTGAGTCAACTGGCCAATCTCGTGGGTTTTCTCCGGGTCCTCCGGTTTCCTCCCACTGCTAAATACCCCAACGCGCAAGCGAATTATTAAAATAAAATTAAACCATATGTTATTCCCGAAATGACCTAGTTTGTGTCGAGTAGTCGTTAAACCACATTTCTCTCTCTCCCAAAATACTCATTTATATAAAGCGATCAATTTGGACTCGGGGAATTCCCGAACCTCCCCAACCAGCCTACAATTAGCATCTTGCAAATTAAATGTCGGGGATATTTTATTTTAATGTATCGCATTATGAGGAAAGTGTGCAAGTACAAGTAGGGTAGACTCAGATTGACTGGTCAACCCTTGACAGTTGTAATTCAATGAAAAGTAGGCCGAAACAACCGCAAAACTTTCCTCATAGCAAACTGCATGACGCATGCGCGTTTTCATTAGCCCAGTTAAACACATATGACCTGACATATCTTGGATTATACTCAAGGAAATAAGAAATAACTTTCAAATTTCTTCTGTAACTGTTTAGAAATGTATTGCATTCTTGGAAACGAGCCGTATATTTGAAAACATCTCTGAGTTGCGTTTTAACAACTGTACGCGATACCCTGAATAAGTAGGTCGTGGATGAATTTTTTTTAATGAGTAATAATCGTGTTTCCCCGATTGATTTAAGTGGGGTAATTTTATAGAGGAATATTTATTATCGATACGTTGATTAGCTAGGATTATCCCCCCTGTTGTTGCATACCCGGGTTAGAGAGGAACGGCTCGTGTTCGACAGAACTGCAAGTCAAATATTTATTTTCCTTGCTGTCTAGGGTGACTCGTGCCGAACTCGAAGCTTGTATTTTTCTAGCGTATTGACAATTATTACGTGAGTGTTACCGGGTTCATAATTACTGAACTAAAACAAAGTTGACAAGGTTGGCCGGCGTGAAAAATGGGGTCGTTGTTGAGCTATATCTACCATTATTTGTTCGGTAAGAAGGATTTAACTTTATCAATAGAAGTACGAATACGTTGCATTACATTAAAGCAGGTTGTTATCTGATGTGTGAGTATGCATTGTCTTTCACGAACATCTTGTACCACTTCCCTAATGATTGGAATGTTGAGATGACTTGTGGTTGTGTATTTCATGTATGTGTTAAACTGGTTGACTGACTAGTATAACGTGTTTAAGCTTATGCAAGTTTTGTTTGTCAAGGGCGCGTGCTATTTCAAGAGCATCTTATGCCACTTTCCTAATGGTTTTCATATTGAGTTAACTTGTTTATTTCATGTGTATGTGTTAAACTATTTGATTGATTTATACAACTAGTATATAATATGTATGCAAGTCCTGCCACGGGCACATGCTCTTTCGCGAACACCTTATACCACTTCCCTAATGATTAGGATTTTGAGATGACTTGTGATTGTGTATATGATAGGTGTGTTAAATCATTTGACTGACTAGTATACAACTAACTTGATAGTTATTGTATATGTATATATATATATAATGTATATAGGATGTATAAATGTGTTAATAATTATACCAGTTCATAGAAACGGTAACTCCTCATTTCCGTCAGCCATCTTCCGTGCACTTGAATAGTGATGAAATCTTGGATGGACAAAATAAATGTCAATCTCATTGCCTTCATTTCGTCATTTTGTTTATTTATTAGTTCTAGACGAGGGTTTCCTTTCTTGTCCACAAAATATTGGTCCCACGTGTTGTTATGGTTATCTATTGGTACCGTCATTATTATCTCATTTTCTTCTTCATCATTATCGTCGTCGTCATCATCATCACCATCTGCTTCATCATTGTCGACGTCGTCATTATCATTATCATCATCTGCTTCATCATTATCGAAGTCATCATCATCATCATCATCATCATCATCATCAATATTCTTTAAATTTATATACTAAAGATATATTTGGATTGTTCAATCTATTACAGATTATCATCATCATCGTTGTACAATCATATTAAAGTTTTAAATAAACTATCCCTGTGGAGTAGCATCGAGTGCTCTTGCGAGTCGTCACGGCGCACTACATCAAAATGGCAATGAGTGATGGGGTGTTACCAGTACCCATTCTCTGGGCCCTGGGTAATTTCGGGACTAACATATTGTTCAATTTTATTTCAATAATTCTTTTTCGCGTAGGGGTCTTTAGCAGTGGGGCGACCCGGAGAAAACCCAAGATGTAGGACAGGCGACCCTACTCCTTGGCACGTACAACCGGGGAATCATCAAATCAAGTGAATGGATCATCCGGGGTGTCGGGAATAACGCCCCCCCCCCTCCCAACACACACACACCGTTCCTGTTGTAGTCTAGATATAGAGAGTATAAGAATATCGAGCTACGTGTATTTCTGGCCAGTTTTTATCTTAACCTTGTCTGTAATGTGTAAATGTCAAGCTGATCTACCACCGACTGTTTGTTTATTATCGTATTTATTGATGGAGTTGGCTTGCTTTTGATACTCGTGACTGGTGTTTCACGAGCTACATGACGTGTTGTCTATTATTATTATCTATTTATATGCAGGTAATAATAGAACGTCACCTTATTTATTACTCATTCAAATGTTTAATTCTTGTGTAACTAAGGTACGAAATGAAAATAAAATGAAATGGGGTTTAACTCCCCGCTGTTCTGTGCCAACTGGGCTATTGAAGACAAATATATACGCAAAGTATACGCAAACAGCGGTGCTTCCGCTTACTCTTCGTTCAATTTTAATTGCTAAGGGTTCCTTTACGTACACACATCTGTTTTCGTCCCATCCGAACGACCAAACACGGTTTCTTGCCAGATGCTCTGTATTCCACCACCGATGAATGGAATCGACACAGAAAGATCCCCGGGGTACTTTTTCGGCCAACAGATGGACCTAACTAGGGACCTTCTGGTCAGTGAGTCACTGAGCTACCGCGGCTCGTTGAAACCGAATGTGGTTTGACGGATCTACGTTTTACTGTTATACCAACATTATGTTTATCACACCTAAAGTATTTCTAATGTTGCCAAACATGTTGTAAACAATCCCATCTTTAATTTACCACTTGTGTTAATAGTTACTTCTAAAAAAAACCCAGGTTATCAAGTAGGACCTACTAGGTGTGTATCAATGTTTAGTCGGGCACGCGGCCATTTTGCAATAAAAATGTCTGATCTGATTCTATATATAATTTATTATGTCAGAGTGTACTAAACACTTGTCTTAACCGTTCTAGAAATTCTGTTAATGCCGGAACGCAATAGATACGCACTTTACATACATATTCCGCATACCAAAAAACTGGCTGCCATTGATATCTAACGTCATACCTAAGTTATGACGTCAAAGCTATATCAGATTTAGACATACGTCATCATATCTGTGGTTTAGCATGCATTCGGTTTACCGTGTTATTTCTATAGTCATTGATCTAAGGTCATGAATGCGGGTGTTCATATCCTCGTCGAGTAAAGATTATAGTTTTCACATTGATCTAACATTTATAGTAACCTTGATAAAACAGAACCCACATACTCTTAACAACAGTGCGTGTAGTTCGTTATATAATTTAAAGGGACACCATCACGCCCACCAGGAAAATAATAATTATGAATAGTAAGCGGAAACACAAATCTTTACAAAGGGAGGTAACTGGAAGGGGATTGGTTGCATATCAGTGTTTATCCTATTGGGCCAGGAACTAGTCCCCAAGCGTTATTCTTCGAAAACAGCCAAGGATTTCACTAATGCAAGTAAGACCGATATGAAACTTGGACAATTCCAAGGTGCCGGCGATGATGTCATGTTCGGTCCTTGGTCTATATTGTATTAACGTGCTTGTGAAATTGACCTTTGACCTCGCCTAATTATAAAAATAATCCAGGCATTGAAAACGTCGGAAGAATTTGAACATTTAAGCGAATGACTCGACAGACTTGTCTCCAAGTCTACACACAATTTAATTGGAATATAATAATGTGCATATTTGTATAGCGCTATTCCACATTGACTGTATGGATGGTATAACTGGTTAGTCAAATTACGTCTAAACAAAAATTATTTTTGTACCAACCGGTCCATACAGAACTCCTGTTCTCTGAGTGGGACATTGTTTAGCACTACATTCATTGAATCGTTGGCAATGACAATGATGTAATAATATAATAGTTATTCAAGATTCTTTAGACCCCCCACCCCACCCCGACACCACTATACCCCAGTGCTTCGAACCTCTTAACATTGTACTGGGCTTGTCCACAGTATCCAGAATTCTGTTTACCCCCCTCCATGGATGACAGGGATGCTGCTGGTGAGCGTATAATAGTGGGGGTCAAATATTGTATCATGTAATATATTAATCTTATTAAACATTCACTTTAATGTTATGCTTCACTTTTGTCTTTCCAGAGCCAGAACCCTTACCTATCAACGAGAAGATTGTTGTGTCTTCAGCACCAACTTCCAGTTCAGCCATTCCACCACCCGAGCCAGTGGAAGGAAAACTTAGCACTCCTCCTGATCTCATCTCGAACGAACCGCAACCCGACGAATCCATAAAATTAGAAGCGGTAGAAGCTGAAGTAGTAATGGCTGCTGTTCAACAACCCTTGGATACAGCACTATCAACGAAAACATTAGAATTCCAAGATTCAACTGAAGGTGCCGTGTCTCAGACTATAGTAGATGCTCAGTCCGATATTACAAATGCAAACGAAGATGCCGAGGTTCATGATGCAGTAGAATCTGTTCCAGAAGCTGATCAAGTAGCTAGCAAAGCAGAAACGCCCTCTGAATCACCTACTGAAGCCCCAACCGAGACGCCAGCTGAAATACCCGTCGACGCACCCGTAGAACCTGTTGCTGAAACAGGAACCGAGGGCTCTGTAGAAACACCAGCCGAGGCCCCAGTAGAAACACCTGCCGATGTTGCTGCTCCAGTAGAAACCCTTGCGCAGGCCGAGGCTGTAGTAGAAACACCTACCGATGCCGAGACACCAATAGAAACACCTGTCAAGGCCGAGGCCCCAGCAGAAACACCAGCAGAAACACCAGCAGAGACCTCGTCGGAAACCCCTGTCGATACCGAGGCTCAAGTGGAAACACCTGTCAAGACCGAGGCCCCAGCAGAAACCCCATCTGAAACACCTGCCGAAGCGCCAGTAGAAACGCCAGCAGAGGCTTCATCGGACTCACCTGCAGAGGCTCCAGTAGAAACACCAGCAGAGACTCCTGTTGAAACACCAGCGGAAACTCCTGTTGAAACACTAGCGGAAACTCCGGTAGAATCACCAACCGAGACCCAATCTGAAACACCTGCCGAAGCTCCAGTAGAAACCGCAGCTGAGGCCCCAGTAGAAACACCTGCCGAGGCCGAGGCGGCAGTACAAACGCCCATCGAGGTCGAGGCTCCAGTAGAAACACCAGCGGAAACTGCAGCTGAATCACCAGGCGAGATCCCATCTGAGACACCTGTCGAAGCTCCAGCAGAAACACCAGCTCAGGTACCAGTAGAAACACCTGTCGAGGCCGAGGCTACAGTACAAACACCTGTCGAGGCCGATGCTCCAGTAGAAACCCCAGCAGGGGTCCCAGTAGAAACAGCAGCAGAGGCCCCAGTAGAAACACCTGTCGAAGCCAAGGTCCCAGTAGAAATACCAGCCGAAACCCCAGTAGAAACACCTGTCGAGGCCCCTGTAGAAACCCCAGCTGAAACCCCTTCCGAGGCTCCTGTAGAAACAGCTGAAACCCCAGCTGAAACACTAGAATCACAACCAGTTACAGAGGCAGCAGCTCCCGTAGAAACGCCTGTTGAGGCCTCAGTAGAAACACCATCGGAGACCCCAGTTGACAAACCGGCAGAATCCCCAGCTGATAAACCAGTTGAAACACCAGCAGATACTGATGCATCTGTCCAGGAATCTGCTGAAACGCCAGTCTCGGCACCCGTAGAAGAGGCATCAACCAAAGACACCACATCAGAGATAACCCCTGATCCAGTCCAATCTGAAGAATCAAAACCTGAATCGGAATTGGCCGAAGAACCAAAAGTATTAGACTCAACAAATAATGCTGAACAGGAATCTCCTGTTGAGGAGGCGGCCCAGGTTGAACAGCCCAAAGACGAAGCAACACAGAAATCTGTAGAGGAACAAGCACCTTCGGGAGAATCCGCTCCAGAAGAAGCACAACAGGAACCTACTCAAGAACAACCAGTATCCAAGGTGGAAACTGAATCGGAACCAGACCAAACCCCACAAGAGTCCGCACAGGAGCAAGCGCAAGAGGAATCTGTACCGGTACCAGAATCCGAACAGGTTCCTCAACAACCCAAAACAGAAGCCACACCTGAACAGACACAACAAGAATCCGCTCCGGAAGAATCACCACAAGAAGCCACACCAGAACAAGCCCAAAAAGAATCTGAACCAGAACAAGCGCCACAGGAATCCACACCAGAACAGGCCCCACAGGAATCCGCACCAGAACCAGTCCCACAAGACCCTACGCCAAAAGAATCTGAACCAGAACAAGTGCCACAGGAATCCACACCAGAACAAGCCCCACAGGAATCCGCACCAGAACCAGTCCCACAGGAATCCGCACCATCCGCACCAGAACCAGTCCCACAAGACCCCACACCAAAAGAATCTGAACCAGAACAAGCTCCACAGGAATCCACACCAGAACAAGCCCCACAGGAATCGGCACCAGAACCAGTCCCACAGGAATCCGCACCAGAACCAGTCCCACAAGACCCCACACCAAAAGAATCTGAACCAGAGCAAGCACCACAGGAATCCACACCAGAACAAGCCCCACAGGAATCCGCACCAGAACCAGTCCCACAAGACCCCACAGCAGAAAAAGACTCAAAAGAATCTGAACCAGAACAAGTCCCACAGGAATCTACACCAGAACAGACGCCACAGGAACCTACGGAAGAGCAAGCCCCAAAAGAATCTGAACCAGAACAAATCCCAAAAGAATCTGAACCGGAGCAAGCCCCACAAGAATCGGCGCCAGAACAAGTCCCACAGGAATCCACACCTGAACAAGCCCCAAAAGAATCTACATCGACACAACAAGAATCCAACCCAGAACAAGCACCACTAGAATCCGCATCACAAGAGCAAACACCACAGGAATCCACATCAGACCAAGCCACTCAAGAATCTGCAACTGAACAGTCCGCGCCGGAATCTGTACCAGAAAAAGCATCACAGGAAACAAAGCAAGAATCTGTGCCAGAACAGGCACCGGATTCAATTGCAGCCGAGATCCCACAAGAAAATGGTAATGTGTCACAAGAAAATGAGACCTCTCAACCGAAAGTTGACGAAGTCGCGGGACCAAAAGATGGATCAGCCGAAGGCACAGGAGAAGCAGTCAATGGTCTTGAAGAACCGATAGAAAAAGCACCTTCCAAGGCATCTGTTGCTTCCGAACCAGCCCAAGCAGAGGCTGTCGAAACCAATACATAATGAAGCAAAACCCGTGCTAAAAACTTTCTTTTAAATATCAGAATCCCCAAAAAAGCAAAATTGTCTTTTTTAACTAGTTGATTTTCACAAGATGAATTGGCAGAGGATTAAATACGGTACTTGAAATGCTATAATTGAGAAGGAGAGAATCGTAATCTGAAAAATTGTAATAATTTTTCAATTGTAAATAATATATTTTAACGTAAAAGGAATAGTATTTTACGAACATTGCTTTTAAAACCTATGCGTATTATAGCTTAGACTTTATATCTGGATAATGCCTATGGCCATAGTGTACACATAAACCAATGTTATTTTACTAACGGTATATTATTAGAAGAATTAACATTTTTCTACTACATTTTTTAGCACAATTTGGTTATTTTGGTTTTCTAAAAATATTAATACCATGGTTGAATGTATGAATGTATAAGAAAGTTAATATTATGGATCGTGTTTGCAGAACATATCTCAGTTTATCAAATAATGCAGGTGCCTGAATCTCGGAAAGGTAAAATATTTTAAGTATCTTGCCATTTTATTGGCCTAGAATCAAGATGTGTTATTATAGGATGTTCATTCTTACTCAATGAAAAGTCCGTAGCCTTGAAAAGTCTACGTTAACAGTTTTGGAGTGTTAGGCATCAGCATTATTATTAACCGTTTTGTGAAGCTGTGATTCTCCTGACTTTGTTTCTTTGTTTAACCAATCTGATTAAAACGCCAATCTGATTTCGTTTCGTTATTGTATAGTTCAAGTTTCGAAAACGTAATGAAATAAAGCCAGATCCTATTTCATTTCATTTTACAATTCACATTTCGAAATTGAGATAGAGACAGAGATCCTATTTTGGTTCGAATTTCGAAAGTAGAAAATGGAAACGTAATTGATACAGGTTCTATTTCATCTTGTTGTGATATAGTTCGAATTTCGAAAGTAGAAAAAAAAACCAACGAAATAAAATAGAAATGAGTCCTCCGATTATGTTAAGTTTTGTCATTTTACAGTTCGAATTTCGAAAGTAGAATAAAACAACAAAAACGAAATGAAATAGAGAAAGATAGTTTAGTCAGATTGGTATTTCATCTAGTCTTCCATTTTTACACACAGTATTACTACAAATAAACAACTAAATATATTTTCTTACATTTATACGTTTCTATTGTCGTATTCGATGGCCATAAAGCCATTTGAAATTTTAACATAGAATCGATACTTAGTTGACATAGATTATTAGGCCTGAGCTCTCATTGGCCCATTTCTCCTAAACCGAGTCTGGCATGTTTTCAGTCAACCCTCTTTTTATTGGCCAAGAGCTAACGTATGTGCCTTGGTTTTTAATTCTGGGCCAATAAGAAGATAACAAGACTTAAAATTTGTTATTTTCAGTTTTCTAGAGCATGCCCTGGGATTTTGATATAGTCTAATACAGGGTGAAAAGGGAGGGGGTCGTGTTCATTAGATTAAAATTCTAGAAAGACAACCAGTGACATACTGGTTTTTTTTTCAAGAATGATCAATCATGAGCAAAGATAATTCTAGACTGGAACTTTTTATTTCATATAAATAGCCATTTCACACATCCATGTGAGGGAGGATAACAGAAGCTTGCAGTTAATAAAGAAATTAATTTCAGTCTACGAAATTATTTTAAAAATAGCTTATGTGTTACAGTGACTTTGACTATAGTGGAGCATTGTAACCCAAGAAGCTATACAAAGTCTAGTCGTTGGGTCTCAGTACATAGCTTTTTAGTCAAACATCTCTTTGGCTGTCGAGGAAGACAGTGATGTTTTAAGTCAAAAATTGTGAACTGAATAATAATAGCGTGTACGGTGATGACAAAATATGTTTCGCTTCTCTTCCCGGGTTGTATGAAATAAACATGGTTGTAGAAATTCTACGTTGGGTGTTAGAACGGCCGGTTCAGAGAAAACCAGATTTAAATTTCGTTTCGTTTGATATTTTAAGGTTAGGAAATTAAACGGAACGAAAATGTAATCTAGTTTTAATGCAAGAGATGAAACTAGAAAAAACACCCAACTACGTAATTCGGATACACGGATCTCCGTATTATAGCCAATACCCTTTGTTCTAATGTCTTCCATCTGGGCTTTGAAATGTAATATAAAATTGTTAATTCTATCTATGCACGTGCTTTATGCTGTAGCTTCTGTGTTTGTTTTTATCGTGGTCGACCTATTTGTTATATGTAAGAATGTGATACAGGATGCATGCTTGTCAGGCTGTATGAAAGGATACAATAAAACATGTATAACTCTCAGTCTTTAATTCTTTTATTTTTTGTTTGGGGTTTGCAGGGCTGGATTAAAGGAAGGGGGGGGGGGGCTTGGCTGCATATGTTCAAATGAAATCTCAACCAATCTGCAAAACTTGCAAAACTGGAGAGTTACTGACGAAGAAGTGAGACGCATCATTCGGAGGAAGACCACCATTAAATTTCACCATCTCGATACCCACAAATTGTAGTTCGCCTATTTATAGCAATTCTCTTTCTGTCTCTTTTCTCCCCTTTTGCATGCCCATTTTTGTTGATTTTTCGGTCTATAACGGACGAAGATGGTTTGAATTAACATTTTCTGCCAGGTTTTGGCAAATATTCATGATTTTGAGGCGGAAGGATAACGGGGTTATCAGGTTGGCTACGGTGATATGTACTAGTTACATGTTTTTAGTATGCTTCTTCAAGTTTGTGTATCTCAAAACTTTGGTTATCAACCTCATACAAATCTGTCTGTAGTAAAAAGCATTTGGCCCAACGAAAATTTGGGGAAAAGTTGGAGGTGGGCAAAGAGGCCAGAATTAACATTGAAGTCAATGGGGAAATTAATGGTGGTCTGCAGCCATTTAATCCAAGGTAGTTGTCTCCCCTGATACGTGAATAATGCCCGAAACGTTGCATCAAAGGGTGGGGGGCTACGCTTATATCAAATTCCAACTGCCAGCGGATCTTTTACGTACACGCCAATGTTTACACGGGACATCGGTTTTTCGTCGCATCCGAACGACTAGACAGATGTCCTTGTCAGGCCCACTGTCCTACATACGGTCTGTCATTGGGTCAACTGGCGGGGTTTCGATTCCCCGGTTGTATGTGGCAAGGAGTAGGGTCGCCTGTCAAACCTCGTGGGTTTTCTCCGGGTCCTCCAGTTTCCTCCCACTGCTAAAGACCCCTACGCGCAAGCGAATTATTGAAATAAAATTGAACCGTGTGTTTGTCCCGAAATGACCTAGTTTGTGTTGAGTGGACGTTAAACCCCACTTCTCTCTCTCTCTCCTCTGTCCTGCGCCAATGACAAGGAGAGACCACGCCGGAAAACCCGATGAACTTTCTCGGCCAACACCGACCTACTATACAGACCTACCATAATAACTGCCATAAATTGTTCCAGACATCCAGAAATCATCGTCAAACTTTGTTCCCCGAGAAATTGTCATGGATTTTGGGGTAATGTTATGAAACAGTGTAATAAGTAATATGCCCGATTTTATTTCTTTGGAAAATTTATCTGAATTCGGATAACCGAGTGCTTTTAACGCGTGTGCTTTAGATCATATGGTCTGTCATTGGGTGGTTTTCTACCACTGCTAACGACCCTTAGGCGAAAGGGAATTATTGAAATAGAATTGTACGTTGTTTTATCCTGAAAGTTTGTGTTGTGTCAAGTGGACGTTAATTCCCATTTCTCTCTGCTTTTATCCCGCCACAAAACAGTCATTTTTTTTTTTGCTATTGGCCCAAACTGGTCTCGTGGTAAGTTTTAATGCCGAATTAGATATCAACTGGGAGAGTGGGAAAAATGGGGTTTAACTAGGTCATTTCGAGTCTAACATATGGTTCAATTTCATTTCAATAATTCGCTTGCACGTTGGGGTCTTTAGCAGTGGGACGAAACCGGAGGACCCAGAGAAACCTCACGCGATTTCACAGGCAAGGTTGGACAGGAGACCCTACTCCTTGTCACGTACAACCAGGGAATCGAAACCACGCCAGTTGACTCAATGAGAGAGAAATGGGATTTAACGTCCACTCGACACAAACTAGGTCATTTCGGGACTAACACATGGTTCAATTTTATTTCAATAATTCGCTTGCGTGTAGGGGTCATTAGCAGTGGGACGAAACCGGAGGACCCGGAGAAAACCCACGAGGTTGGACAGGCGAAACCACGCCAGTTGACTCAATGACAGACCTTATGATGCAGCGCGTACACGCTAACCATTCGGCCATTCACCCTCCCAGATTTTATATCTTTTGTTTTATAAACAGGATTATGGTGTTTTTGTGCGTTTTAACATCTTGACAGATTCGGCGTATTATGTTTCGTAAACCCGAAGAGATATAAATTAGTGGGAGTATTCCATATAACTAACTATATGGTTTATATCAAATTACTTAGTTAATAAAACACATTTATTATATTTACAAACACAGGTTTATGTACACAGAACATAATATGCACTATTTGTTTCCAAAAATATTATATCCTTCGAGAAAAGTAAAGGGAAAGACGATGAATATATCAACAACAGACTAGAGAGAGAGAGAGAGAGAGAGAGAGAAAGGGGGGGGGGTGAACGTCCACTGGACAGAAACTAGGTCATTTCGGGACTAACACATGGTTCAATTTTATTTCAATAATTCGCTTGCGCGTTGGGGTCTTTGGCAGTGGAAGTAAACCGGAGGATCCGGAGAAAACCCACGAGGTTGGATACAGTGTGCAAGTGCTACTCATTCGGCACCCCCGCCCACACCCCAACGACAGACAAAGTGGGGTTATTGAATCAATTTGATTCAAAAGAAATATAAGACTTTCAGATAAAATAAGTTTAGAGGGTTGGACAAAACTGAATAATTTGACATAAGGATAATGTTTAGGAGACCAAGGATATTATTGTGCAACGACGACGACGCGGACGATTATGATAACCCGATGACACGCCATTACTTTCATTTCTTTACTTGGCTCCACATCAACTGTAAAAAACCCAAAAAAAACAACAAATATAATCGACAGTTATTTGTGATAGGGCATGCGTTTACTTATACGATACAAATACAACTACGTCATAAATTTGGATGTTTGGATACTTTCATATTGATATCAGGTTTTATTCATTACTAAAAGGTCTTTGTTATAAAAGGTCCTTGTTAATTTCAAGAGTTAGCTCCCCTCAAATCAATAAAATTACGTACCATGCATTTGAAAGATGTAAACACACAGAAAGCGAGAGAAATGGGGTTTAACGTCCACTCGACACAAACTAGGTCATTTCGGGACTAACACATGGTTCCATTTTATTTCAATAATTCTCTTGCGTGTAGGGGTCTTTAGCAGTGGGAGGAAACCGGAGGACCCAGAGAAAACCCACGAGGTTGGACAGGCGACCCTACTCCTTGTCACGTACAACCAGGGAATCGAAACCACGCCCGTTGACTCAATGACAGACCTTATGATACAGCGTACACGTGCTAACCATTCGGCCATCCAACCCCCCAGATGTAAACAGGTGTTGAAAGAAATGAACTTCCATCATGTTTTATTCGTATATAACAGCATATAACAAAATAAAGCCCCACAGAGTAGTCCGTCGGACTGAATATTCAGCGCTATATAAAACGGTTATTATTATTATAAATACAAAGTTACATAATAAATTGGGTGGAAATCTACCATTTGTGCATTGTACAGGCATTACTATAGTTCTTTTCGTAATGATCTCTGAATGGACAAAGTCCTCAAACCGTTCCTATGTGCGTCCGTATTATGAAATTAAGGAAAATAGTACACTACACCCAACGTTCTTACCTTCTATTTTTCTCGCGACAAGTTTGAATTGGCCCGCCATTACGGCCTTTTGTATATGTCTTTGAATCGCAAAATTCTATTTTAAAATATTATTAGATTATTATCAATTTGGGTGAGATGTCGCAAGAAATAATTCTCTTTGGCGAACAAAGAAAGATTACGCTGAAAAAAGAGATGTAAGGTTTTCAAACTGAAGTCAGAGTAGAGTGGTATTATTTTATATTGCAACTTAAAGATACATAATGTAAGATTCAGATAAAAAAAAAGCTTGCCATTCTTGCTATAATAGATCGAAAATAGATAATTTAAAATGAATATACTGAAAATTTCATTCAAATTTCTTTATTGCGAGCGAAAATATTAGCCTTTGAAGTTTTGACAAGATTTGTGCGTTAATTGTAACCACCATTTTTAGATTAAATTAAAATATGGCAGAATCGTTCTAATCTACTTAATATCGGAGGTATCCGATGACATCGAGAGTTCATTATGGTATTGTCATGTTAATAATGTCTAATTAATAGTTTATATAACATTTAAGGCCTAAAGAAAGGCCTGCAATAGGCAGATTAATCTCACTATGTTCACTAAAAACGCTGAGAAATACTGATGTGCTTGTTTTTAGCTACGATTGGATGCCTTTAGTTGCAAGTGGCAAACTCAATTTCTTTATTAATGCATGTACCATCTTAAAAATAAGTTAATTTTATACTATTAGTACTTATTACACATACGCAGTCCAATCTACTGAAACAACATTAATTTATCAGCAAATATTGACAATCAAGCGTTGTTTTTATCAAAATTGATTCGGACGTTCATAATTACGGCGTATTACTACTGCGCAACTCGGATCAGATTAGTACTTTGATTGGCTATTGCACACGAGGCCATGCCTTTATGTGTTACAGACGTAAATTTAAAATGTCTACTGTCGCTTTGATTTAAAAAGAAGGGATTTGTACCCGTTTCAGGTAAGATTGTATGCTTAATTGGAGTTGGGTGTAGTAGAAATATTATAAATAACAATAATCAATCGTTGTTTTTGATGAAAAATATTGTCAATGTTGTTTGCTAATGCCGGATGCGAATTGCTCCCACATTTGCTACGTTGAAGTTAATAGGGCCAACTCTTATCTCGAAACACGGAGGGTTGGGAGATGAGGTTTGTTATCTAGGGTGATCAGAGGACTTCGTCCATTCAGCGAACTTTCCGAAGTGAACTACTACTATACCTGCGCCTGTTTGCTTTTCCCTGCAATTATTGCTTATAAGTTATAGTTACCTCCGTCGACTTCATCAATAAGCCAATATGCTGGAATATCTCTACAATGGTCTGCAATAGTATCTCCAGCAAATTTTCTTAAAATATATTCATCGATTGGTTCATTACTGGTATGTACTCGTTTGGATGGTGTTGGGGTGCTTCTTGTCTGTAGAGAAGAAAATAAACATGAATATTATTATGCATTGACTTCCTGCTCAAGTTAAGGTTTTCTAACACAAATCAATTAAACCATAACCTGCAAGATATAATCGATAATCAATTGACTTCGACTAAAATCCATAATAAATTGATTTCGATTAAAATCGATATTCAATTTACTTCAATGAAAATCGATATTCAATTGACTTCGATTAAAATCGATATTTGGTCGATTATTTGACTTTGGTTACTGAATGATATGAAAATAAAACATATTTTACCTTTTGAGCAAGTAAAGCTACACCTTCTTCAAATGTTCCTTCCAGTTTATCAATATAACAAACTTTATTAGCCACATCTTTAAATACTAACAATTTCTGAAATTAAAAAAGAAATGAAATGAAATGGGGTTTAACGTCCTACTGTTCTGCTCTGACTGGACTAATACAGACGGGCATACGCCTTAAAGTGTGCTATGGGGGGGGGGGGTTGTCCTGAAAGCCTACTCTTATATCGAATTCCAACTGCCAAGGGATCTTTTACGTGCAGCCAATGTATACACAGGGCCTCGGGTTTTCGTCCCATCCGAACGACTCGACAGCTGTCCTTGTCAGGCCCTTTGTGAAATTTTAAAAAAAACCAAACACATTCTTACAGTTTATCAAAATACAGCATGACCTTTTTATCACATAAGTTTAGGGAATGGTCTGACATAGATTCAAATGTCGTAGTTTCGATACCATGAGCTGGTTTTATGTGGGTTCTCTGGTTTCCCTCCAAGTCTGCTAAATGGCCAAGAGTAGGACTTACCCTATTATAGTCATGTAGATTGTTGCCAGCCAACACTTCACCATACTGTGTAGTATTAACATAAGTTATTTTATTTACATAATCTACACGAGCATGTTCAGGAATATGGTATCCATTATAAAGGGTTTCTGTATCGTATTCCTGAAAAATATTACATTGTTTAGTCATAACCAGCGTTTTGAAATTTTACCGAAGGCCCGTTTTCAAAATTTACACTTGTAGCAAGAAAATCACAAACATTTTAAAATGAAATTTTCAGCAAATTGCCTTTACATTATCTAGTTTTTAACTATTATAGTGAGCACTACTGTCAACTCGTTATCGAATCTCCCATAATGTATCTTTAAATGGCGATTGTGTATAAATCCATTTAAAATCACAACCATCCGATGTTCTAGCGAGTTGGTCCTGGGCCTGTCATGTGAATAAGTATCTAATTAATAATTTATATAACATCTGAGGCCAAAAGGAAGGTCAGCAATAGGCAGATTTAGCTCTTACATAATGGACCTTTAAATTATCATCATTTATCCTTAGAAACTTTTGGCAAAGACGAAGACGTTCTTATAATTATCTTTGTTAAATTTTGTTTTTACCTCTGGTTTGTTCATATGATGGTAAAGTGCCACAGAGCCGATGGCGCCAAGGGTTATAACCACAGCAGCGCTAATAACCGATACAGCAATTACATAATATTTTTTGTTGTTTGTCTTCACTGTAGGTTGTTGAACGAAATTTGATGAAGGAAACATCACCTAAATATAGAAGAAAAAAACAAACCCAGTGATTTTAAGTAAGATATATTATCGGTTTACTAATACAATAAATAATAATAACATGGAGCAGACATACACAGGATCGTTTCTTGTTTCCTTATGCAAAGGAAGCGCTTTAATGAAGACAGTGCAATATTAATATTTTGTAATAACATGCAACTATAATAATATAATTTGAATAAAATAATTTCTTCTTATTACTTTTGAGAATTCGGCGGGAAACAAAATCAATAATTTAAAGAGAAAAAAATAAAAATTTAAAGAGAAAAAAAAAATAATAATTGAAAGAGAAAAAAAATAATATCTTGAATAATTTGTATGTAAATTTGAATAAAATAATTTCTTCTTATTGTTTTGGGAATTCGGCGGGAAACAAAAACAATAATTTAAAGAGAAAAAAAAATAGATAATAATTTAAACAGAAAAAAAAATAATATCTTGAAGAAAAAAGAAATAATTTGAAGAAAAGAAAAATAAAATAAAACAATACGTCATGTAATATTCGAAGCAATTTGTTATTTTTACTGAACTCACCTTTACATCTTGGTTATTGTTTTTAGTTTGAAGGTCGAACATTGGTGGTGACATCTTGATAACTTGAGATCAGCTACTGCTAACTTCTAAAGTTATACTTTTAATGTCAAAAATGTTTAAAACAGTGCATATGGAAAGGATGGTGAAATTTCATACTTATATAGTAATAGGTAAAATATCAGCTGACCAATCATGGCAAAGCGGATATTTCCGTGTTCGGGAAAAATATATTATTGTTAGATTGGATATTTGGATTGGCTCTTTGATACCCAATCGAATTCAGAATAATTCTATAATAGGTGAAAAGGGCCCTGTATGCCCTCTATTCAATGAAAATGTTCACTGGCAACAGGTACGCAATGCCTTATATATACTTGTATACAATATATATATATATATATATATATATATATATAGCTGTAGTGAGTTGTTATTCTAATGTACAGTATCATATATCATAGTATATAAAAATAACACCGATTTGCTTCTACATGTTTCAATATATTGAAACATGTAGAAGCAAATCGGTGTTATATATATATATATATATATATATATATATATATATATATATAACCTGGGCATTAAGCGGACCATAAACACATATATATAGCCAATAAGCAGACCGGTGGATTAGGCAGACAAATACCGGTCTGCCTAATATTTTAACTGATGAATTTTACATGCTAAAAAGTGAGAAATCACATTTCTGTAGTTGGAATAGGTTTTAGTTGCCTCTCACAGTAATTTGGGGTATCTGGATTTAAAGAAAGAAAATTGATAAAATTTAATTTTTACTCTTAAGTTTTGACCTGCGTATATTTATTTATCTATTATTATGGGCATTAGGCAGACAGGCTTTAACCCTAAACAGTTTTCTAAAAACATATGAATGTCTATATTTTTATTTTATTTTTTCATTCAGGAAACATTGCTTTTAATTTTGATAACAAATTTGTTTCGTATTTTTTTTATTAATTTCGAAAATAATATTTTGTCATTTTGTTACTGTCAAAATTCTCGTTTCGACGTGAGAGGTCATTAATATTGAAACATTCACGAGTATGTTACGTCAACGTCTCGATGACGTCAATGTTTCGTTGACGTAAACAGCAGGTGTCAACAAAAGCCGTGTACAGATAGAGTTGCGACAACTGTGAAGTCAGAAATTCCATATGACGTCATGAAAATATGACGTCAAGTGTACAAAGACGCCATCTTGGGTCCCAAGTAATTGTACCTACTCACTATCTATTTTATGTTCTATCATACTGTTGTGTCAAAGTTGCCTGCCCCGACAGGGATGTGGATAGATATGTCATAGAATTCCGCGAAAAAGAGTCTATAGGAGATAAAACATACATTATTTAAACAAAAGTATAGCTAAACGTACTATTATTGTTATTATACAACACAAAGCGTACATTATTGTTATATAGCCTAATTAATAAGAAAATGAAATGAAAGATACATCAGATAAAAGCGCTATTAAATATTTTAACTTGCATACGCTTTTAAAAATCAGATTTTTTGTGCAGGCGGGTAAAGTGGAAAATAAAAATATAAATAATAATTTGGGAGATAAAACCATTTTGCCTTCTAGCCGGAAAAATAAGCGCCTGAAATTCTATGATTTTATGGCCTGGAGCCATTCCGGATTGTGTGTCAATAATTGTATCATCAATCTTTCGAAAATTAAAATTCGTTTAAATTGGCTGATGGATAAAACATTTAAAATTAGTGTAACTTAAATTCAGTGTAATTTAAATAAAAGGTGTCTAGCGCCACTCTGCTCTATGCGCGACATGTGTTTGAGGCATATGTTTCATCAATGTCATGTGATACGAGATATCGCTCCCCGAAACTTTCTGTTTGTTTGAGGTAAGACGTTATCACTCCCCGCCTATGTGTAAATAATAATATTAATTTGTCGAATATATAAACCGCACAAATTTAACACACAAACACATGTTATTCCACAGGTAGACAGACGTTGAAGGGGCCCAGTGAAGGGGACGCAGTTAGTTTTGAGTTTGTCCGACTCCTTTGGGCATTTGCGCCCCATTTCCAATGAAAAGAATGAAGTTGTTCTGATGCTCAACCAGTATCAAAGATATAGTGTGTCTGAAATTTGTTACAAATTGCCTCGAGCATGTTCCACACATCTCAACATTTATCGGCTTTTTGTTCAATCTATAAAAGCATTCATTTCTACAAAATGTTTTGTTTAGTCAAGTGAAACAAGAAACTTCAAAGGTTAAAAGGAAAACCTACGTACGACTCTATGAAATAAGATATTTTAATAATATGATTCTACCGAAAGGTACATACATGTATATGCAATGTAGATGATTAATATCTACATTCATGTTAAACCAACTGTGTCTATATATTTTTTAAGTGTTACGTCGAGCTGACTAAAGTATATGAATAGAATTATTGTCATAAAAACATCTATGAGTGTGTACCCAGAATTTTTTACATCAAGTCTATTGCATCCAGGTATTTTAAGCATGTTAATAATGTATTCATTTAAGAGAAACTATGTCATTTCGCGATGAACATATCGTACAATTCATATTCATTTGACGATCGACCTCCTATTTACAAGACTATGGATTATCCTAACTACAGTGTAAACATGGTTTAGAGACTCTATCTGAACTACAGGGTACATCATGTTTTAGAGACTATAGACAGGGTAGATTATGGATTATAGACTCTATCTGAACTACAGGGTACATCTAACTAAAGGGTACACCATGGTTTTGAACCCAATATTGAATTCAGTAACCGTAAAAACTTTATTACAAGCAATATCCACAATTTTCGTTTCTATTTTGACTGTCGTTTGATATTTACACCTTCTGGACCATTCACAAAGAGTTGGTTTTATTTTAAATAGAACCCAACAACCACCAAACCCATATATACGACATATTACAAGCTATACCCACCGAAAAAAAAAGACGATGAATTAAAATTCAACCATTTTGCCGGC